CCTCAAGCTCCAATTACTGTGGTGTGACTGTGTGTTGGGGTAATAAGAAAAGGACATTGTGGACGGACACGCGTCACCATCGACACAACCCAAAAGTTCTGGTCTGTTCAAATCTGACGGTTTGTTAGCGTAAGAGGATCGAGAGGGTTATTTACGTAACTGGTTTTAAAACCTCGTCTGAAACATTTTACCTTCTTACACTTCTTAAGTATGCTAAAGATAACGTCATGTATAATGTTGGTAAAACTAGTTTTAAAGGCCCAGAAGTTAATTAAACCAACCGGTCCCATTGTTCAGATGGTCACTTGAATTAATATAAGGAAATATACAAAGTAATTGTGTATAATGAGCATACAATGTATCACATTTGCCACATTATAGCATGCTGTGTAAAAGCTCAATCTATTCTATTCTAAATCTATTGCAAACAGTCGTGATGCAGTTAGAATATCACACAGTTGGAACAAGCATTCGCAGCAGGAAAATAAAAGCCTGATGTCTTTAAAATTACGAGTTTGCAAATAATGCACTGAAATACTTTTTTCCCTAGGTGTGGGTTAAAATAGAAGAATGTAAATTATATATATATATATATATATATATATATATATATATATATATCTCTCCCACTGAAACAAAAAAGATAATAGTCGTAGAAACAAATATCATGTAAAAATAAATGACCTGTGAACGATTGGAAAACACAGTTGCGAGATGATGTGTAACGTAAACTCCCAGCAAACTAACTTTAAGCTTGTGATTTTCATTTTGAAAGTCAAACCGCCTCAGCCGCGCAGTGAGTGTGTAGTTGTGATTTACTCAGGACGTGCGAGGAGGATACAGCTCACACAGTCCCACATAGTGTGCTCTGCAGACACGTGGTCCTCTCATATCGGTCTTCTGATCAGAGCGAATGCGCGTCAATCAATCTTATCTGGGCTCCGCACACTCTGGAGCGAACCTCTGGAGGTGGGCCGCACTGAGCCCCGAGCCACTCACATTACATTAGACACAGCGAGCAAATTTTCTCTTTGTATACGTGCGTGCGTGTGTGTATAAGCGCGTGTGAGCGTTAAAAACGATCCAAGATGGCGCCGTTGATGGCCGCCTCGGTGCTTCGGTGCGCTTCGTTTTTTGTTGTTTTTGTTGTTAATTATGTTTCCTGCTGCGATTCCCGGAGCTCTTTCACCAGAGATGAGCTCTTGAACATCCGTGGAACAACTCCAGCGGAGTTACTTCCAACTTTCCTGCTTTCTTCCGTGGAATTACTGGACATTATAGTCAAAGGTGCGCTCACCTTTCGTCACGCGGTGAGACGCCGTAGGAGAGGAAAACGAGCCGGCTCGCTGGTGAGACTCCGCAGGCGGGGTTCTCGCACTCCGCTGCCGGGCATCTTTCTCTCCAACGTGCGCTCACTGTGCAACAAACTGGACGAAATTCAGCTGCTGATGAGGAGAGACAGAGACTTCTCTACATCCTCCGTCTTGTGCTTCACGGAGACGTGGCTCTGCGGATCGATACCGGACTCCGCGCTCCAGCTGGCGGGCTTCCAGCTGCTCCGAGCGGACCGCGACACGGAGCTCTCCGGCAAGACGAAGGGTGGAGGAATCTGCTTCTACTTCAACAACAGCTGGTGCAACGACGTAACGGTGATCCTACAACACTGTTCTCCTGATCTGGAAACTTTTTTCATTCACTGCAAACCCTTTTATTCCCCCCGCGAGTTCGCTTCATTCATCCTGGTCGGTGTTTACATGCCGCCGGCGGGCAACGTGCACGAGGCACAGCGGACACTCGCCGACCAGATACGGCGTGTGGAGCGGACCAACCCGGACTCTTTAGTTATTGTCCTCGGGGACTTTAACAAAGGAAATCTCACCCATGAACTCCCTAAATACAGACAGTTTATTAAATGCCCCACCAGAGAGGAGAACACGCTGGATCACTGTTACACCACAGTCAGCAGGGCTTATCACGCCGTCCCTCGTGCTGCACTGGGACTCTCTGACCACGTCATGGTCCATCTGATTCCTGCATACAGGCAGAAACTAAAGCTCTGCAAACCTGTGGTGAGGGAATTCAAGAAGTGGACCAGTGAGGCGCTGGAGGATCTTCGGGCGTGCTTTGACTGCACAGACTGGGATGGTTTCAGGACTGCTACTGACAGTCTGGATGAGTTCACAGAGGCTGTAACTTCCTACATCGGCTTCTGTGAGGACAGCTGTGTTCCATCATGCACCAGGGTGAGTT